GATTTCTACATTAATTATTTTATAAAATAAAGTATACAACTAGTAAGTTCGAAACTTTTATTTTACAAAATAATTTAGGTCGGTATAGTGCCAAATTTGAGGAATTAGTTTGTTATAACGGGTCTGATGTGGAGAGTTGATTTTGCATATTATTAAATAAATGTAAGATATATCAATAAATAATAAATTAGAACATTCTTAAAATATGTTTATTAATAACTTAAGGTAGTTCACTCGCGACAGTCGTACATAAAAATATCGCTTAATGGTGAATACCAATAGTTCGAGATTCTCAATGCTAATCAATTTTATTTTTGTAAGAGACTGTACAAAACACATGTAAGCTTATATATATGGATTTTAATAAAATCCATCCGGCAACCTCATAAATATAGGAATGGTTTGTTATAGATATTTGTGACTTCCTCATATTAATTTTAAGGGTTTGTTTTGGTTCAAACAGAACCACTGATTCCAGTTCTCAAATAGAGTGGACGAATTAATTTTTTAAGAAAACGTCGCGAGGTTATAACATCCTCTTAGCTGATCGAGTGCACATCGAGTGTTATTTTGGTACAACGCATTGATTGCAGCGTATACAACGTTGCCAAGTTGTAATAATTTTACTCAACTACGCGTCTATTGCTTTAAAAATATTTGTATTTTAAAAATTTATATCTTTTTACTTTTTACTTTTTACTAAGAACCGTTTTCGAGATATCTTGAAATAAATGCATTACTTGTGTATATGAGAGGGTTCAAGAGTGTTAATTATGCACATTTTGATTGTTAATATCTCGTTTCACAGAAGGTCAAAAATTTTAATTTTTTCTGGTTACATAAAAGACACTTTCATTAACCTTATATTTCAATTTTATTGAATTCTTAAGAAAAGCCGTTTTACGAGTGAACTACCTTAAATAAATATTATTGGAACAAAATAAATACAAATAATAATACATATTTAACTATGCATTTAACGAATACTTACTTGGAGCAAATATGTATAGGTATATGTATACAATCTGAAATCTTTAACATATCAATATATTTAAATGTGAAGTAGAGACTAGGATATTACATTTCGTTAACACTAAAGTTATATTTTATAAATGTCTTTTTACCTGAGGATAAATTTAATATAGTTATTGGATTAAAACGACTATTCATTAACTGATAAAAAATTTAAAAATATTTTCCTTCCAAATACAGATGGTATACTCTATTATGTGAAAAATGATTTCGGGATCTAGTCCAGCGATAAATTGATTATCAATTAGGTGTACCCGTTTGTCTTTTTATGATGCATGATGAATCAATGTAGTTTTTCTCCAAGTTTTCAACGTAGCACCAAAATCATTGCAAAACATAGTAGGAAATGGAAAAACAAAAAATCACAATTTTGCAAATAACTAAGAAGACACTATAAACAGAAAGCCAAAGCCAACAAAAAAATTAAAAAATCGGAATACAAACTAATAAACACGTCATAATCTTTGGATTCTTTGGTTAAGTTTCATCCATAAAAAAAATGGAGGAAGAAAACACAATTTCACCTGTAGCTCCATCTAGTGTTTGGAGCAAATAGCATACAAAATGTTAGTTGTCGGTTTTGACCTTGGTCATTCACGTGGAACCTCTATGTGCTTTGTGGTATCGACTATCGAACTTTTTCCAATACGCTTTGCACAAGTCAGCCATGTGAAAACTACATTATTGCTAGCAGGAAGCGACTATTATCAGCGCTGTCTGTTTATACGGTCCGGACAACCTAACAATACGGTCGGGCCGTATAAGCATCATAACAAAACATAATTGAATGACACAAGAACTTACATAATTGTATAATTTAAACGTTAAGAAATACAAACTTTATCGTGTAATAAACCAAAATAAAAAAATATGCTGCGCATTAAATTTCGAATATAATTAGCTTTCAAATGAGGTGACAAACTTTACAATAGGTAACAGTTTTGTATGCTTCTATCGAGCGTTAAAATCAAAAATAATTCAATGAATAGTTATATTGCCGAATTCTCCTTAAAATTATCTTTTCAATGACGTGTCATACTTGGCACTTTCCCTATTTAACTTGCATTGGTTAGGATAACGGAGTGTAGGGGAATGACGTATGACAGTTAATATGATAAAAAAATGTCCTACTTCAAACTAAAATCGATCTGTCCGAGCGTTTTTTAATATCCATGATATTAATACCCAAAACTCCCATCAAGTTTTCGTTGGGTCACCTTGTATAAAGAGAGAGTATTAATATTAAACAAAATATAAATTAAATGGATCGATCCCATATTATTGCAGAGAAATACTAAATAAATAGTTTTGAAAAAACTATTAAAACCAGTTGTGAAGTTTGAAACGAATAAATTGGTAATGAAATTAATATTTTTTTATTTGATTGTATGTTACTCTTTCCACTTCCTGAAAAAAGATTCCCCATAAAACAAGAAATACTAAACAGTTTATAATAATAACTTTTATTTGCTACTTATAACATGTATCAATGACCAAGTTCGGTTCTGTTTATTTTCAAATAAACAAATATGGCCGTCGATAGAATCTTTAAAAATTAAATAACTCACCTAAATAAATGTAAGTTTCCTTTATCGCCGTCACACTTCGCACTTTTAATAAAAATAAAGCTTTTTACAACACATCTTGGCATTTTTAACGTTAATTTCCAAAATTTAAGTCACTAAAATACCTAATTAATTCTCGTTGACACATTAAATTTGGACGAACAACGCTCCGACATGTGATGTCCTCAACTGTGATTGGTGGGTGTGAATAATTTTGAAGTGGGATTATGCGCAGTGTCTTATGTTCCATCTAAGATTTGTATAATCCATGGTGTTTTTAAAGGATTGCACCGGACTATTCAGAAATGATATCTTAACACCGTAAAGCAGATAATTTAAAAATTATAAATTATAACCGAAAAGATAAATGATCGGTAAGTTTTCCAGACTTGTCACCATAATTTTTTTCCTTTTAAGGACTACCTTAAGGAAAAAAATTATTCAAGTAACCCCTAGAGAACAAATAATAGGATGACTTTTCTAAATATATAATTACAAAGAGTCAACATGGCTGTAGAAGGGCAGATCGACCCAAACAGCTGCCTGTGAATTTACTGAATATGTATGTAAATATATTGATGATGGTCTTCATGTTACTGTTTTGTCTTACTTTTAAATTTATTAAAGACACTCTGTATAATCTTGTATTTAGAGGAATTTTCTCTGAATAGCTTTCTAGTTTTATTACTAACTGAATGATGTGTGTTAGTAATGAATAGCCGATCTAATAGCCAACCTATTGATTTCGGAATTCCTCAGGGGTCTGTGTTGGGACCGCTATTATTTCTTCTTTTTATTAACGACTTGCCTCAATCTGTAGATGCAAATATTAGATGTCGATACATCATTGGTGATCTCTAATACAACCCTGTAATTTTGATATACATAATTTTATCTATTGGTGTCACAAAAATAGTCTAATTGTTAATGTAGATGAAACTGAATGCGTCTATTTTAAAATACATAATAAGAGATCTATTCTGTAGAAATTTGGTTAAAATTAACCCTAGGTTATAAAAATAACCGGATGTTATTTTTAATTTTGTATTATGTATTATTTGGTTTAAATTACATGTCAAATATATTCTTTTTCTTATTTTTAATGCCGTTTTGGGCTTAATTTGAATACACTTTTAGGTATATTACATCGTTACCATGTCTATTTTAACCAGGGCTAACAACAAAAGTTAAACTGATGGAATACCGAGTAGAGGTTTGGGTTAAAATTTAAACGGCATAGTTAGGTTATAACCTTTTAACCTGGCGGTTAAAATTAACTAAAACGTTACAGAATATGTCCCTATTTCCAATAAAAATCCTCTTAAATTAACTCATGAAGACAAACATTTAAAATCTCAAGATTTTGACGTTTAAGGTAGCCTTTAAAATATGTTAAAATATTTCTAACGCTTACGCCATCATTCATATATTAAAAATTAAAAAATAAAAAATGTTATTTATGGTTTAATAACAATATTAAATCATAACAGCATCGAGGAGTGCGAGGCTAAATAATTTAAAATACTCATGTGGCAAAATAAACGAGTACTTCAAACGGATAAACAATGAAACAATAGAAAACTAAATATAGTATTGTAATGTATGACTATAGAGTTCAGTCATCTTGGTACTTATTTGAATATCCTCATCCTCTAGGTACTTTATAAAATTTATGACCCACTGTTACTACGAGGATCCTTTCATAAATACGTGAAAGTTATTACTATATAATAAGGTTCAAAATTAATTTATTTTATGAAGTTGTAATTGCATCAGGTGGGATAAGTCGAAGAAAAGTGTGAAAAACTGCGGGAAAAACTATTCTATCGCTTTCACGTTCAACTCAACATTGGTTCTTACAACTCATACGTGTAATCAACATTTTCTGACGAATGTTATACAGTTATACAGGACCGTATTGGATATATTTTGGAATAATTTATAACAAGTTTTTTTTTTTTTTTTTTTGAAAAAGTTATTTATTTTAATAACTTTTATACTGTTAAAAAGTATCAACTCGGGATTCACCCCTTATAATCTAGTTCCTAACGAAATCGTATTCATTACCAAATTGTCAAACAGGAATTAGAATTGGAGGCAACTAATTACTAAAGATAAATATACTTTAATCTAATAAATGTGCAATATTTAAAATTAAAATTATGACTCAGTCAACTATAGTGTAGTTCTGATTAAGTAATACCCATACCTAGCTAAATTTACATTTTTTTCATTTTAATATGTGTTAAATAAATTGTATATTTACTAGTTATATGTACTATTCATGTTCTATTTATATGTACTATTTTGAAAACTCTGAATAAACAATTATACTCGTATATTATTATGCACCTGTTGAAAGCTTCAGTAAATTAATCACGATTTTATTTTTTTTTGTTACAGATTTTACTAGTGTCAAACAATTCCCTATCTTCCCTACCGGACGAGCTGTGCCGCATGTCCCAACTAACGGAACTGGACGCGTCCTGTAACCAATTGACGCACCTGCCGCCCCGTTTAGGCGAACTCAAATCGCTGCAATCCTTGGTGCTTCGTAACAATCTCCTGCTGGCCGTGCCGATCGAACTGACCTGTCTGAAGCTGGTGAGGCTGGACCTCAGGGCGAACAGAATCGGCAATCTTCCGATCGAATTGAGGAACATGGCCAGTCTGATCGAGTTGGCTGTCGAGGATAATCCTTTGACTAGTCCACCTGCGAGCGTAAGCATTTTTATATATTATCTAAATCCTTTATTTAATAAAAAACTAATTCATAAATTAAAGTATTACAAAATACTTCTAAATAATTCCAAATACTTATACTTATAAAAATACTTCTAAATACTTATACTTATAAATACGTATTGTTCTAAATTCATCTAAATGCTTTTACATGCTTATAAATGCTTCTAAAAACTTCTAAATATTGTCTAGATTGTGTTTTATATTGTCTAGATATCCAATCGTCCATTGTAAGCATATCGAAAAGTATCATCAATAATACCTAAACACTCCAGCTTTTTTTATAAGTAGAGAATGATTAACAATTTCAAATGCCCGCTGAAGATCTAGAGAAAGTGAATTTATTGTTATGGTTTTGTTTCCAATAATCTAAAACATACTGCAGATCTGTTTGGCAACTGTGTTTACTTCTAAATCCAGACTACACTATTTTAAGAAATATTTTTTTCTAAATATTCCATAAGTTGACTGTAAACCACTTTTTCCAATACTTTAGTGGCCTTGTTGGAATTGAAAACTTTACCAATTAAAATTGAGGCTTTTAAGATTGTGTTGTTTTCTAATTTATAATATTATCTAAGGGCAAAGGTATTGCAAGGGCTAGATGACCATACTAGTTTCATTATTTCTTTTTGATCTCACTTTTGTGTCTGTATCAATATTTGTATGTACTACTATTGTTTTATTCCACGAGTAGTATATTTTGGTTTATTTATTTGCTCTGCTTGTATATAAATCACCTATTTATTTTTCGGAAATGCAGCAATCAAATAATTCTATAAATAAACGAATGCACAAATGTTGCAGTTCCTACAACTTTAACTTTGTGAAATTAATTTTCTCCTGTTTGCTTTTCAGCGTTTTTTCATTACTAATTGTATTAAAATTTTCTGCATATACACACTTAATATCCCGTTAAAATTAATTTTACGATAGTTTTAACGAACATTAAATTTAGTGCTAATTATGCAATTAGAACGTAAACACATACACAGTTTTATGAAATAATCGATAAAGGAAGTTCTAGTTAGAATCGAGGATGCGTTAAATAATAAATTAGGTAGGTTTTTGAGCGTATAATGATTGTTAATAAAAAAAATTGTTGACTATAATGTGTTCATATATGTTTTTAAACATTGTTAACATTAACAACATGTTAAAGTGACTCTAACGCATATTGTATACAGGGCGTCTCACTTAAAGTGATTTAAATAACGTTTTTCAGTTGTGCAAACGTGGCAGAGTGCATATCTTCAAATACCTAGAACTAGAAGCTTTAAAATTTGATAAAAGGACGGAACCCGGCGGTGGAACCTTGAGCAGGAGATCGAGAAGGTGTGGTGCTGGCTCATCACCTGGTCCCTTGCATCTCACCGATAAGCTGAAACACAAAAGACAAAACGTAGATAGCGGATATAGCACCAGTAGCGACGGCTACGATAAGCGATGGTCTCAGGAAATAACAAGTAAGATGATTTTTTTAAAGCAAAAATTAAAAACGACTATCCGGAGAACTATTAATTTTATCTCAAAAATGGTGGATACCTTTTATATTTAGCACTACAGCCTTTATAATTTCTTAATATAATTATTTTCGTAAAATTAACGATTAGCGAGTTATAGCCCGTAGAAAGTATTTATAATTTTTTCGTTTCTAAGAAATTTTAAAACTTAAATATCTCGCGTTCTGTTAATTTTACGTCAAAAATGGTGGATACCTTTTTTTATCTAGCACTTAAGCTTCTATAATTATTTTCGTAAAACTATTAGCGAGTTTAGCCTGTCAAAAGTGAAAGTAGATTCAGCCTAGTATTTATTAATATTTTTTCGTTTTTAAGAAATTTTAAAACGTAAATACCTCACGAATTGTCAATTTTGCGTCAAAAATGGTGAATAACTTTTTCTATTCGCTCCGTGCGCGACAGCAGCGCCAATTTGTTTTGGTATTAAAGGACTATTTCTGCCTATACTGACAAATACAATTTTTAATAGAATTCGTAAATAAACAGTATATATGTTAGTTTTAATAAAAGTATATGGATTTGTAAAACAAGTAAAACATTAATTTGTTATTATATATTTTTCCCGCTTAAATTAAAGAAAATTATGTATAATCAATAAAAATCAATAATAAAATATAGGCAGGCAACAGTATTTACTGGAAAATGTATGAGAAGTTGCCTAAGTATAATAAGTTGTCATTGAAGAATTAGCCTATTTTCTCAAAATAAAAAAATACCATTTAATAATAACGTGAACACAGCTTATACAATACAGCTCCACATTCTCCACAACTCCGTGTCGGCGTCTTTGATGTGGCGGTCGAGAACCAAGCGAGACGGAATGGTGCTATCTCTGTTAGATTCGACGGAAAAGTCGGGCCCGGATTAAAAAATATATTTATTATTGAAATAATTGAATACCTTGGCGTAATAAGGTTGGTTACATGCCACATTAAGTAAGTTTTGAGAAATTAAGTTTTAAATTTGTTTTAAATCTATCAAATATAAATAAAAAAATTATTTAAATATACCTAAATATTACGAATAATAGCACATCTTTCGGATTAGAGATAAAATAATTTGTATGTGGCTAGTAGTATCCTTGTTAACAGATGTTTTGAGCTAAAACAGTCACTTCACGACAAATTGTGGCCGTGCAAATCAAGTGGCAAGTGTCATTCATCACGCAAAGGGTTTATAGTGTTTATACCTAGATAAACGACTGCTTCGACTGACAGGTCTGGGAACTCGATGATATTCTGGGTTATTATAAAGAATCGGTAACTTGTGCTTTTATTTTATATTAATTTTTTTTTTATTTCTAATAATAAAACAGCTATCAATCCATTACGCACTAATAAGACACCCTGTATATATGTTATTGGCTAACATGTTGGTATCGTTGAAAAGGTAAATGTATTAGGAATTTTATGTCAAAATAATATACATTTAAAAAAAATTGAGTAAATTGAACTTAAAATTAGCCATATTTAAGACATGTTTTAAAACACTCTGTATAAAATAAACCAGTTCTATCACCACTAATCGTTAGCTTAGTATTTTATAAGTCTGTATATTAAACAATTTTGAAATCAATGTAAACCTACCTAAATTATGATAATTTAATTTGGGGTCTACATTATTCTCTAATTTAAAAAAAAATTAATTGCTTGGCAACACTAATATTTTTTAATACATTTTAGGGTTAAATACAGTATTACCAAACCATTCTAAAAATAAAATAAAATACAGGGTGTTCCATTTAAAAAACATACATTTTGATTTGCCAATTCAATATTCAAAAATATTTTTAAAATATGTATTTTTCAAATCCATATAATTTTTATTTAAAACTTTTTTTGCGTGTCTACAACACAAATTCAAATATTGAACAATTACGCACTAATGGGACATCCTGTATAAATTATATTATTATTGATGAAAATTTCTAAGAATGTGGTACTTACCGGTTTGGGTCCTTGGGAAAACGAAAGAATGTTTTCTTGCAGGTATAACCCCTATTAAAACAGCTTTTGACTGCACAGACAGAATTATGTCTTTTTTTTCACTCATTCTACTCACAGTTAAAGAGTCACCAAAATAATAACAGTACCTTTAACTTAACACCACAGGCAGCTCAAACAAAATCAACGAAAAATTATGCAATCAACGAAATTATACGCACGGTTCAATCCTTACCTGAGTACGATTCTGAACGCCAAAGCCGTCTTTTCCGTCCGATGGAGGAGCTTAAGCAATGCGCGACGGAATCGACGCAAACCGTTGCCGCCAAGAGAGTGTTTTAGCTGTATTGTATAAGCTGTGACGTGAAGTTAAAATGTATAAAAAAGGATCGTTATTTATATTTTCATTTTTGTTCGAAAGAAAACATAGAATGAATGATTTAAACTGGTTTCCCATCAGTAAGTCACAAAATTGCATTCCAACCACATATTATAATCAAAGGCAGAAATCTTGAAATCTAGTCCTTGTTGAATGAACATTTAAGAATAAAGGGATATTACGAGGGATATTAAAGAACATCGTAAAATGATAATTTATTGTTTATTTAAAACCTTTCAAGTTTCTGATGTCTACTATTTCCAGCATTACTGTTATTATCACAAAAATAAAGGTAATTTTTCTTCTTATTGTACACGTATCCATTTATTTCTTTGATTTAATTTCCACTTTGCTAGTAAAATTTTTTATACAAGTTTCACTGCTTTTTTTTGTACAATTTTCAACACAGCAACTCCGGTTGCTTATTGTGTTGTTTTACCTACTTTTTTGAAAAAAAAGTAAAATGTATACGTGTATTTGATATGCCAAAATTACAAAATATCGCCCTAAAATGCACGAATTATCCGCAGCTAGCGCTAGTATCGCTTTTGCTTCCCTTTCCATGACTTCGCACGGAGCGAATAGCATCAAAGCCTCTATAATTACTTCATATAATTATTTTTGTAAAACTAACGGTTACAGAGTTGTAGTCCGTCAAAATGTGAAAAGTATTATTATTTTCACCCTATAATAAAATATTTACAATTCTGTACACTGTTTTTAGTGCAGTAAATATTATTGTACAATAATAAATTAATGCGAACCTTCTTTAATTTAAGATTTTATTTAGCGAAATAAATTTTTAATCATCTTCGTCAGTTTTCTATTTTTTGTGGAACACCATGCATTAAAATTGTTCTATTTGTTTTCAAAAAGCTCCCCTGATTCCATGACAATTGATCGGCGGTTATTTGGATCCAAAATTGATCAACAAAATCTGTCAAAAACAGAAATTATGTATTTAGCTTATGGCAAAAAAGTAAGAACCTACTTACCACATTTATTATAGTAACATACTAGTTGTTTCCGATCTTGTTAAGCATTTCCTAGCCATAACCCTTTGAAATTCAGATCCTTTATCAGAGCATATATATTTAATTTTATGACAAATAATATTTTTACTTGTCAAGTAGTTTTTGTCATGGTACTATAACTTTTATTTAAGAAAATAGACAATAATCTCGATAGGAAATAATTTTAAAAACAATCATAGAAGATGTATCAAAATATGATTTTAGCCACCTGGTATGAGTCAAACATAAAAATAGCCTTTATCCTGAATGTATGCTATAAATATTGGCTATATACATAAAGAAATCAAAAGAATAGACTCTCGATGTAAATGTGTTGTTACAAAGAATGCTGTAGAGATAAATAAGTTCATGTTTCATAAAAAATAGATAAACTAAGAATGTTTGATAAGCCCACATATTCCCTAGATTCTGTGTTGTTTATTATTTATTACTTGTTTTTATCTACTGTAAAGTTTTTTTTTTTTTTTTCATAGAATACATTTTTTTAACTTAATAATGCTTTAATCATTTTAATTGTTAGGGATTGTTAACAGTTAATATGCTCTAAGAGGTCATGTTGTGACAGCAGTGGTATAATAATGGTCATTTGAAAAATACAGCACATACATGACAGATCCCTTGTCTGTTATTGTCATCGTTTATTATAATACAAAACTATACTTTCTCTACTGTTATTTATTAAGAAATGAGGAGCATTTCCGTATAAGATCCTTGTTTGATAACAAAACGTAGTCATTCCATAATAATTTTAATAAAATCATGTGTGCCGTGAAATCTCAACATTGTATCATTACCCTAATTCGCATATGTCAGAAGTCCATTTTTACTAATAGTAAAAGCAATAGAGTTCATAAGCGTGCAGTTATGTTTTCTAAAATGACATATAATAAAAAAAAAATGAGTAGTTTTCTCAGCTTATTAGGCAGATCAGTCGCGTGTTAACGAGATGAAGAAAAAATCTCAATTTTGACAAAAAAAAATGGACTTTCGACATTTGCGATTAACGATAACGATATAATTATCTAGAAGAGAGCTGTCATCTTAATTTTATAAGTGATAAAACTAATTAAAAATGGATTACAGCGAGATATAGCCATAGAAAAAGTACATTGTTCATCTCACAGGGAATGCTCGTTAAAGAATATACTATTTTCAGTACGAACTGCTGATCAAAATGGCACCCAATCGACTTTATCCACACCTTCAACGTTATCGCCGGCACTCGAAAATAACAATGACGAAGAAATCTGCAAAAGCAACGAATTCGACAAACTAGATGGCCTAAAAAACAGAGAATATGCCAGGTAAGTACTTTCAATTAAATAAATAGAGAACTAACTCGCACAGAGAAGAATTAACTATTAAAATTGCTAAATTGTCACTTGTCAAAATGTTCATTGTTTTATTTAAGATATCAGTTATTTGTTGTCAAAATGACAGCGAGTCGTATGTCATTTGTCAAAATTTGACGAGTTTGACATTCTACTGTGTGCGTATTTATTTCTTAGTGATTGCTAATTTTTTGTCGTAAAAGTGTCGTAATTTGTTTTTGCATGATTTTTTTACAGTGTACGTCTTAGCCCGTGCCCTGACACATTTTCTAACGGTAATGGGATTGATGATAAAAAACCTTTGCATCAAATTCAAACATACAGGTAAATATTCATTTTTAAACGCACGAAATGACTAAAAAATATTACATTCTTTATTTTTTTCCCATAAACTGTCCATAACTTGTCCATATTCGGTAATAAATTATATTTTTTTGACACCTTATCCTCTATTGCTGTTAATAAATTCAAGCTTAAGTAACGTAAAAGTTTTGCCCTACCAGGATCGTACTAAAATATTAATTTAATAAAGCATATTTTAAAATAGGTCTTTAGGATATCAAACATGTTTCAGGGAGTACAAAGAAGCCCTAAAACAGCAACGGGCACAAGACGTGCCTTCAATATATCGAACAAAAGACGACCAAAGCTACAAAACAGAACCAAATACCCCCACCCACCATGCAACGCCCTCCCAAACCTTATCCACCTCACGTTCCGATCCCACGCCTTTAAATTCCGCTTTCAGTAATCCTAAAACGATATTCGACGATACTAGTCCCACGAAAAAGCCCATCCAAAAGGTCCCACCATCCCGAACCTACTCGCCTAGTCATAGTCCGCACCTCAACGGGTTAAGCGACAGCAGAAATGCTAACGGATCGCCTCGATTGACCACTTACGTCAAACCCAAATCGCCTATGAAAGGATCCAGTGATATCATGTCACACGACAACGTGCCTAATGTTAAATCTGTGATGACCAACGGGAAACTGGCGAGTCCCAAGTTGGGGTTGTGCAATTCTGCGCCTAGGAGTCCAAAGGTGACGAAAAATATTAGTTGGAATCAAGACGCCAGCGATAAGATGACGTTTACGATGCGGAGAGAGATAGACAAGGCGAAGGAAGAGACTGACTTGATTAATCAGTTAAGAAATGTGAGTTTGTTTAGCTTCGTTTAGTTTCGTATCGTATATTGTGGGATATTTTACTTATTGCAATCTGATCATTAGGAACGTCCATGTTTAACCTAATTGACTACTGCTTTGAAGGTCTTCCTCAGTAGTGTTCCTTAGGGGCTAATAAATTGAATGGTAAAGAGAAGTGTTTGCTCATGACTTCTACCGAAATTGGTAATACTTTCTTGGAGATACTCCATTCCTAGGTCCCAGTGAAGATTACAGTTGCGGCATAAGCTATTGATTGTCTTAAAAAAGAGGGCAATAAGTAACTAGCAACATCTCAGGATTTTATCACATGAATCGTTCAAATGGTCATTAAATTATGTCAAAAATATGTCAAAAATATTAAAAAAATATTAAAAAAATAAATCAAAAAATCTATTTTTTTTGTGCTTTTTTGCGTATTCTGAGCAAAGATATATAAGCATTTTTTACAATATGTCTTACTAAGTTGAAACCATATGGTTTTGTGAAAAAATTTATTATTGATAAAAAGTTCTACATGGTCCAAGACGTAAAATGCAACCATCAGATATCAATTTTTAAACCCATATACGGTTTGTCAAAAAAATATGATTTTTGCTAAAGACTAAAGTATCTTTATTTTTGACAAACCTCGTATACGACTGATAAAATTTCATATCCGATGGTTGTATTTTAGGTTTTAGACTAGAATCTACCCAGGTATTTTTCTGAAACATAAAAAGGGATCCGAGTATCATTTATTCTGACTGGAATGTGTTGCTTCCATTTGTAAAGTTGACAGGAATGAACTTATTTTCATTCCGTTTGATGCGCCATCTTTTGGTCCAGGTATGGATCTGATTGATATAGGTTTTCATTTTTCGGGGTGCTGTTTCTTCCCGATATTTTCATGTAGCTAGAATTAAAGTGTCATCTGTAGATATTGTATCGTGCTCAAGGTTTGGTATGTCATTGGTGTTTAGTAGTTAAAGTACGGCACCCAGCACTACCTTGTGGTTCTCCTGCCTTGATTTACTTTAATTCAGAATTATGCTTCTTCATATTTAAGTCTGAAATGTATTTCTGTTAAATATGATTTGAATAGGTCTGATTATTGTGTGGGAATAGTGTTTCCAGCTTGTGGGATAATCCATCATGCCATACTTTATCAAAAGCTTGCGCTACGTCCAGGAAGATTGCAGAACTTTGTTTTCTTCTAACGTTTTTTCATTAGTGTGTAAGAAAAGTAATTAATTTTTTTTCCTTTATTATTGGTTTCAATCTTTTAAGGAGTTAGGTGATTTGCCTGGTTTTGGAATCATCATGACTTCTGCTATTTTTCAGAGCTTAGGTACATACCTTAGTCAAAATGATGCTTTAATTAGAGTTATTTTTACAATCGCTTTCTTTGCAAGTTGTTTTAAAATTCCCTCATAAGTCAAAAACCAGCTTTTTTCGGATTAATGTTTTTTATTTGATCATACTTTCTTCGGAAAAGTGTGGGTCTAATAATGATATTTTCTGCAATGGGTTCAATCCAGTCATGATGTTCTTCTTCATAATTTGACTGAAATGTCATTTATAAATGCTCTACAAATCTACAGGCCTTTTGGGATCTGTTATGTGCCCAGTTCTGTCTGCATTTCTAATTGGTGGGTTTTAAAGCATGGGCCTTTTAATTATTCTTTTAGTAAATTTCCAGGGTGAATATTGTGCTTTTGTTATTAGTTAGTTCACTCAGGTAGTTAGTTACCAATTGACTCTTGTTTGATATGTTTAATGTCTCAACAGGGACTCTGGTTTGTTGCCATTTTCTTTTTAATTTCCTTTTTTCTTAATTTTTTCTTTAATTTCTTTCGAGTAATTGTTTTATTTTACCCTCTGAGTGATTTCCGGTGTATCTTCCCATGTTACTAGCTGAATATTTTTTTATTAATAATTAAACCTCGTTATCTAGCTACCCTTCACTTCTTAGTGATACCAAAAGGTTATTTTTTTCATCGAGTTTTATTTTTTAAAGCTTTCCAATGTTTTTTTATGTTTCTTTTTGAATTAAATTATGACTCACTGTAAGAACTATAGGGGAATTATCCGAGTTCATATCCCAAGCTTATTCTTCTGTGGGCATGTAGTTAGTTCATTGATATATTTCTGACAATAAAGAAGTATATAAGATTAGGAATTTTAAATTAGGGCATCAGTGGATAAGTTAGTTTGTTTTGGTTTATTTTTTTGCTGTTTTTCGGTTTTCCCAGTTAGTATTTGATTGTATGTCTTTTTCTGTGGAGCTTGCTCTTGTTAGCCAGTTTTATTTATGGAATTTAAGGTAGGTTGAATATACCCTTTGTAGTTGTTTAAGCAAACTAGTTTTCTTTGTCTTTCTTTAATTTTTTTTTTCATTTCTCTTGATAATTTGCTAGATGATTGTCTCTGCAGTGTACACATTTAGGAAGAGCATTTTTGTTTTATAGCTTCCGCTGTAACGTCTTTTACTGGTCAAATGGCATCTTTAACACATGTCTGGGTATTTCCATTCGCTTGACATCACTTACATTATAGAATTTCTTTCTAATGGGTTGGATTTCTATTCAAACTCCCAATATATAAGTTATGGCGAAGATCTTATTAATATTTTCATCACATCTAAATGACAGCATGAACTTTTTTAGAGACATATTTGTTTTATATTTTAGTTTTTTGGTTTCTACCAATATTTGATATCCTCTTTTCCTTAGTTATGTGACTATTTGTTCAAGATTACAAAAGTGATGCAGTTTCATGGCCATAACTTTTATTTCCTGTTTGTTCTTGAAAGCTTGACATGAATATTTTTTTGTCTGTCACTATCTTTGTGAAAAGTTTATAGCATTCTCCATATGCGACATTGACTTTAATAATTTTATATTCTGATTTCTGAGTTCTCTTAGCTCATTGAAATTTTCGATTATTTCACTAATTTTTATTTTTGATTGTTCTTTTTTATGTGTTTGTTGGACTTTATTACAGTGTGGTGAGAGATGTATCCATTTTTCGCTTTTTGCGATTTTTTCTGAAAAGTTTTGTTACATTTTTTCTATTTGGAGTTGTGTTTCTCTACTTTTATGCGCTAAGAAATTCTTTTCATCAGCTCACAGTATTTTCTTGGAATATCATCGCCTCAGTAAGATCGATTCTCACTTTAGACGTTTGCGGTGACTGTAAGTACACTTGCTGTGGTACTTTATTCATTATTTCGCGATAGCTTACGGTCGTGTCTCTTGACAGTAAAATTTAACTCACGTAAAATGATATTTATTTTATTGACGATTTTTTTTTCTTATTTTAAATGTTTTTTAATTAAGACAATTTTGGGTTAAAGTTAATATCAGTTTTCAGACATTAGAGAGTTATTGCAAGTTCACTTTAGGTCAGTCACTATTAGTTGTTTATGTTCTAAAACTAACTTTATTAAAGATTGTGCCTGTACTTAATTGTGGATGTTTAAGGGCAGCAGGTAGTGGTTATAGCTTTTGAGTGCGCTCGCCGACATTCGTATCCTTTCGAAGTTTTTAAATATTAAATGATTAACATCATCGTCACATCTAAACCTTCTAAAATTATAATTTCTAATGCCTTTTCAATTTTATGTACTATTATAGGCAATAAAAAAAGATGAATTGTAATTTAAAATTAGGTTAGAAATATTATTGTATAAGGACAATGACTCTAATGTCAAAATTTCAAGTTTGCAATAAGTCTTATTTTAGCATGGAATTTATTTGCAATATCGCTTCGTTTCTAAATTTCGATTATTTTGTCACTTGTCAAAAATTTGTTTTATCTGTCATTTGTCATAGATTTCAATTGTCATATCATCAACTAATGCAATTTTTCTTTAATTAAATCGTATTTATTTACTCTAATACAAGATTATTATATTCTAGATCATTGAATCTAGACTGAAAATGGTTTTACCTGAAGATTTGGCTCCTGCTTTGACGGACGGAGTAGTTTTATGTCATTTAGCGAATACTATCAAGCCTAGGTCGGTGGCCAGCATTCATGTGCCATCTCCAGCTGTTGTAAGTGATTTATTTTTAAAATTTAACGATTTTTTTTGTAACGAAAAATGTTTCTTTTAGCCCAAGTTGACTATGGCTAGATGTAGAAGGAACGTGGAAAACTTTATAGAAGCTTGTCGGAAAATTGGCGTAGACGAGGTGAGTTTTTAAAATTGCTTGCTAAAAATACGTTGTTCTGTAGAGAGAAGAGAAGTCTGAAAACATTTTGACTTGGTAAAGTTTCTCCAAAACATGCTAGGTCAAAATTTTTCTGTATAATTTTTATTTTCTGTACTATACTGTTTTACTGTATTTTCTATTTACACATATGCTTTGCAAGATTCTAAACCTTTTTTAATACATAAAAAAATTCAAAACATGTAAAAGTTAATATCAAATTTAAAATTTGTATTGGACTATATTATTTGTATTTCTATATTTTCTTCAGAGACGGACAAAGATAAGATTATTTCAGAAACAATATAAGGCGCACTTTAATACCGATTTTCCAGTCATACTTTTCAATGAATTGACACGCCAGTTGTTTCCACTTTGTTTTTTTTTTAACATTCGGCACGCCACTGGTGCTTTTTCCAAACTCTTGGAAAACTGCTCGCTTTTAACCAGTATAATTCTTATTAAGCCCGTGAATATCTAATATCCACTTTGCATTAGGCAATTCTGATGCATTGCAAGAGACATGCACGAAATGTTTAAAGTTGAGTACAAGTCAAATAAATTAGAGTCAGTCATATTTTTTGTGCAAGCTTCGAGACATTTTAGTTAATTTTATTTGACGTTAAATTGATTAACTTAACCACAAATTTTGCGATGCGCTAGTAAATGCCATTTAAAAAATTAAATAAGAGTTGTTGATGTTAGATTTTAGATAAATTTTCAACAATCGAATTACCTAGAACCTAAATTAATCAAAATAATTAACAATATGTTGGCACCAATGATTGGACAATATTTTCACTGGGCATACTCCATTTGAATTGCATAAATGTATAACGATTGTGCAATGAAATGCTTGACAGCTAAATAGTCAAAATTAAGGCCGATTGATTAGCCCAAAAAAGGCTTAAATAAGGCTATCTCAACTTTTTTGTGGGGTTGCTAAAGCATTTAGCAAATCATTGACATTACAATTACAAAAATAGTCTGGAAACTGGTGGAAGAATCATCCAGGACTAAGGTAGATCTAAGAAATCATTAGAGAAGCGTTGACTAAAGTTCACGACATATCTATTGTGGTAAAAATGACAAATCGTGTCGAACATTTTCATCTGGGAAGACATACGTGTCATTGTTCTAGAAGAAAATACATCGATGAATGTCTCTTGTCGTTGTGAATGCCCTACTTTATTTCTAATCATTAAGCAGAATATCAATACTAGTTAAAAAGGTATAGCTAGAAAATATTCTTCAAACAGTGAAGAATCTGCTGCTCGACATGCACCTCTTTTAATATTTCCAAATAATCTTCATTTTTGTCATACGATCTACAAATTATTTTTGTCAATTGACTGGTTAAATATATAACTAGGAAATGTAATCCAGCTGGTTGGTGATCTACCTCTGCCTCGTGGTGTCGTTTATTATTCTTAATGACAATCTGTAGAAACTTAAACATGTATTGAAACTTTATTTTCTTCTTCTTCTTTCTATACACTACTAACTCTGGTCACTTTGTACACATTCATCTTATAGACTAAGAGCCAGTAACAGCCATATCTACGTTAGGTCCGTATTTATAAACAAAACTCAGCTGAGTCGGACTTGGGTAAGTCGTCCTTTTAACGAAAATCGAAGTTCGGTTATATCGCGTGAATTTAGAGTTGGGTATTAACAAATCCGTAAATGTACTTAACAGTTACATATTTGCTACTACCATCTCTAAATTCCAGTGTAACACCGGAATCACCTGGAACTTTAGAGGAGTTGTAACCAAATTTCGATTTTCGTTCAAGGACGACTTACCTAAATTTGACTCAGCTGAGTTTTGTTTATAAATACGGACCTAATAGTATGAATGTTAAGATTTATATTTGCACATTATAGTAGATAATAATCGTCGTCGTAGTTGTGAAGGGTCCTAACCTATAAATGAAGAGTTTGGAGAAATTTAAATTGTTCGGTCACTTTTCAAGAACCAACTGACCAGATATTTTGTAAACAACGGTAAATGAAAATTTGCTGATTGTGGGTTAGAAGTTTTCACAATTTGTCGTTTCCCTGAAGTCACATAAAGTACTTTGACATAGAACTATTCACCCCTATTGAGTTGTAGAAGAGGACCAACAGCAAGTTTGGAAAAAATGTGCATTTTTACTAATGTGATTGGCCCTAAACCATTTTTTTTTTAATTTTTGTGTGTTAGGACCCTTCACAACTACGACGACGTAATGTTTGGGTATTATGAATCTTGACTATGGATGAGTTTGGTAAATAACAGATTCACAAGGTGCCAAAAAAATTCTGGCAAAAGTGTTATAGGATGAAAGCCGATATTTTAATATGTTCAACTGGATGACATTATAATCTCCAATAAACAATAATTGAATGACCCTTTTCTTGGGAGATTACATCTGCCAGATGCTTTCAAGGTGTCAAGTTTTTCAAGTAAAATTTATCTCTTTTTTTAAAAATAAAAGCTTTTTATTTTTTGACCCCCCCGTATATGATTCAATTTTTTAATATGTATCAAGTTTACAGTGGGTTTTAGGACATGTAGTAACTTTTATCAAAAATAAAATTTTCTGAGAAATTAACAATATAAAAGTTTTCTATAAAGTGTACACTTGTTTTGACACCTTGAAAGCGTCTGGTAGACGTCACTGCCGTGTAAAGTGTCGGGCAATTGATTGGAGATTATAAAATTTCCAGTTGAACATACTAAAAAATCAGCTTTAATACTTAACGCTTTTGCCCGATACTTTTGGTACCTTGAAGACCTGTTATCTACCAAACCCACCCGTAGCCAAGATTCATAGCACCTAAACGTTATCTATATCTATAACATGCACACATATTAAAAATCTTAACCGTCATACTATAACGTAGATCTGGCGGTAGCTGGCTCTTAAGCTTAATTTATAACCGCCGTAACGTAACTTAAGAACTTAACGTAAGAAGTTGAAATATTGAATTTACGTATACTTATTTATAAATGTTGGTAACGTAACTTAAGAACGTACCGTAGAAAGTTCGCCAACTTGTAACTTAACAACTTAAGACCTTACGGTCAACCAATGAGATAATTATGAGTTCAGCATGTGATAACTGTCAATTATTCATTTTATTTTTTTATAAATGAATGCATAAATATAATTTGTAAACTATAATTCTCCTTTTATATGGACATACATTTTCATGAATGATTTGTGTTTATGTTATTGGGGATAAACTATTTATGAGATATGAATGTTGCTGCATACACCTATAAACATCAAGTCTAGAACTGAAATAACACACAAAACTAGTTTGCTAGGAAAGATTAATTTCTCATTATTCCTCAAAAACAATCAACATCTTCGGTAAACTATTCTGTTTTATTATATTTTTATATTATTGCTTTTAAAGTAGTTAATATATTATTTCTGTATAGTAAAATCATAATTTATAAGTTTTATTTGGAGGTTAGGTACATAGTTTACACTTGTTTATTTCATAAGGTTGTCAGTAATTTGATAATCTCTGAAATGCAACACGCATGCTCAACTCTTACGTTACGGACATTTATAAATAGACTTTACTTTTATATCTTACATTAAGTTTCTACGGCGTTAAGTTACGTTACGGTGGTTATAAATTATACTTAAGTCTATTATGTATGTATGGGAACCTGAAATATAATTATGGAAGTAAAGACAATACAAAACCATTGTTTAACTCATTTACGATGTTTACATTACTTTTAATTTATTTACACATTGGAAATGCATTCAAACTAATTCTATCACGCAACAACGTCCGTCTCTGTCAGTTAACCAATTTCTTCTTCTCTTTTTCTACATGTACATAACCATTCCTGCTTAATCAACAGTGAGTGAGACTGTGGTTGGTTGCAGGAACACCTGTGCAGTTGCCTCGACGTGACGGAGGCGTTGTGCGGAAGAGGTTTGCCGCGGCTGTTCGAAACCGTGGACCACCTCAGCCGATTCGGACCCGATCGTCGACCACCGGCGGGCGCGAGGCCGACCCTGCAAGACACCACAGTCTCACTCCTGTTGCTAGCCGTCTTCTTCGGCACGTTGGCGATGCTGATCGCTTTCCCGCCGCCGAATTAGACGAAGACGTCCGTTGAGATCGAGAGATTGGTATCGAAAAAATTGACGGGACAGGAAGGTTAAGGTGTCATGATTGAAATCGATTATGTATTTATATATCAACCATTTTGGGCCATTATAACTTATATTGCCAATGGTTTATAAATCTTATAATTCTATTTTGAACTGTTGCTTTATCTTTCGAAACCTTGTAAAATTAATCACATACAAAAAGTCTTCTAAGTACGATTTAGACGCTTTTGACCAATTGCCTGTGGAAACATTAATTAAATACAACATACGCGATTTTATTTTCTTAGTTTTTGTCAGATCTCGTAATTAGAATTTTGAGTTGAAAAATTGATTATCAAATGGTGCTAAGTGAAATATTGATTGATATGTTTATTTGTGTCGGATATTTCAGTGGAATACAACGGGCAGACGATCCATAATATCAAATGGTACATATTGTACTTGTTAAATAATCCCGTTCTATTAGAAAGACCAAAAATGACGTCGAAAGAATAAAAAATATTGCATCTACATAGATGTGCCTAAAAACGTTGATAATGGGCGTGTTACACATTACAAATTAAACGAATCTGGTTATAGTACGTTAAAAGTTCACTTGGAATATATTTTTGCGCTGTTTTGCTCGCCATTTTAAAGCGCCTGCGTATGTTTTTATTGGTCACTATCGAATCAGCGGTACCATAACATACAGGGTGTAACAAGAATTTATATAAAAAGTGAAGAGTAAAAAATTTAAAGTAGAAATTTTTTGCTCTTACTCTAAAACGGCCGCCTAACACATTTTAATGAAAATATACATAAGATGTTAATATACAGTGACCAATAAAATGGGATCAGTGGCATCCAAAATTGTTT